GAGACGCCCAACGCCCTGCAGCTAGTAAGTGGAGTGGGGATTTGAACCACCTGCCGGACTCCAAGCCTTAAACCTGAGGTTCTCTTGATCTCGGCCCCTGGCACTTGTATTGTCAGTCCCTGTGCCGTGCCTCCCTCCTTACACCCTCGCAAAGCCCCCCTAGCAGATGTGCTCATTCAGTAAATGTTTCCTGAACCCGTCCTGTGTGCCAGGCACTGTGCAGTGACAAGGAAAGAGTGAACGTGGGGGACAGAGGTCCCTAACCGTGTAGAGCAAAAATGAATATATCAGCCCTGGCTGGTGTTGCTCAGTGGTTAGAGTGTTGGCCCGTGGACTGAAGGGTCACAGGTTTGATTCCCGGTCACCTGGCATCCCAGGACCTGTCAGGGGGCCTGGCACAGAGCGGACATGCTATAACCATCGAGTTACGGGGCTTGGCTGTGTCAGCAGAGGTGGGATATGGAGGGTGAGTTTGGGGAACCTCTGACCAGATCAGCTGCTGAATGAACCACCCGCAGGGCTGGCAGCCAGAGCTCATAAGACAAAAGGGACCTGGAGTAAACCAACATGCCCCCCCCATTTCCTGTCTACCCGCCTTCCTTCCCAGTCACCAGGGCTGAAGTCAGCAGAGTCTAGTTTCTTAGCAATGTATCCTGATGGAACAAGTGGTCCAGCTTTCTGAACCTCAGTTTTCCCTGCAGTAGAATGGGGTGATTATTGCACCCAGGGCGCAGGGTTGTTGTGAGGCCTAAATAAGATAAAAGAGATAAACTGTTCAGCTTGGGGCCGGGCATGAAGCCACTGCCCAATAAATGCCAGCTTCTTGTCCCCAGCCATCTTCTCTTTGTCCTAGGCCCCAGTTTTGTTGTTTCCTTGCAAGGAGGGAGGGCTGGGTTCAACTTTGTCACCCTTCCAAGTGCCAATGTTGTCCTTCAGCAGTCAGGAGCTGCAAAAGGTGACCAATGGGGACTTCTAGGCGCCAGGGCTGGTCAGCAGGGGTGAGAATTTGGGACGTGGGATTCCCCTAAAACCCCATTGTGATCTCAAGGACAGTATGACATAGTGGTAAGAACATGGATTTATTTTATTTTATTTTTTAAGAACATGGCTTTCTGATTCAGGCCTGGGTTCCAATCCCAGGTCATCATGCATGACCTGGGGCAGGTGACTTCTTCCTCTGAGCCTCAGTTTTCTCTTCTATAAAATGGGGAGAATGCTAGTTCCTCCTTCACAAGGTGTTCGAGGGGACTCGAGCAGACGTTGCAGATGTCCGTGCTCAGGCTGTATTTGCTGAGTGGATGAACTGGGCAGTTCGGGCACTGATGTTCAAGGACAGTGGGGGGTCAGGGCAGGAGAAAGGGCACAGTGGTGTGCAGGAGTCAGCCTCTGATAGCCAATTGTCAAATTTTCAGAATTTTGTGAGCCAGCTGTTGCATATGTTAAATTATATTACATTAAAAACCAAGGCCCTCAACGCTCTAAAATCATCACTTCCTGATTATTTTACTACATCCTACTATTATCTATGCTCCTGAGATGATTTCATGTGTGGTATCATCTGCTGTATGAATGGTTGGTTGCTCAAAATCGTCCATGGAAGTATTTACACCAAGGAAATTGGCAAGCACCTCAAATCATGGCTTGGGTACCAGTCCACCCAAGGAGCCAGTTGTTGAACATTCATCAGCACCCCACTGGGTTTGGAGCTGGGTCCTGGCTACACAGTCCTTTCTCCCTCATCCTCAGACGCTGGATGGAAGGAAGGTTCAGGCTGCCAATGGCTCTAAGAGCTGGTGCTGGGCGCCCCCTGGTGGCTGCTTTAAGCACCCATCATCACCGACTGCCTTAAGCCCTGCACCTGCGAGAAATAGAAAACCGGGGCACTCCAGGACCCCTCCGAGAAAGGGAGACCTGCTCCCTGCCCAGAAAAACGAGGTAACAAGACCATGGGAGAACTTCTCAGATGTCTCCCAAGTCTTTTAGCTTCTGGGTCCCCAACTTCATGATGGGGAGTCCCCCAGCTGATTTTTCAGATCACTCTCTAGGTGGAAGCGAGTGGTATGTTGCTCCTAACGCATCAGCCCTCCTCCAGGGCTGGCTGCCCCAGACCACAGTGGACTACCCTCCCCCACCAAAGCGCCTAGGACACACCTTCCCTGTGCGTCATACTCGTCCTAGAGGTTCGGGGGAGGGATGGGCACTTCTCCACTTCTCCCGGATTCTATAGCCTGCCACGTTCCCTCCTGCCTTTCCCCGACCCCTCCTCTTCCTCCGGACCCTCCCCTGAGCTGCATCCAGTACCTCCAGACCCAAGTCTCTCTTTGAAATCTCTCTTTGCAGCTTATGGCCTGGAGCAGAGGGGTCCTTTGCTTCCAAAGAGGCCACTGGAGGTATTTTTCTAGATGCAAAAAAGTCTCCCCTGAGATGAATTTCATTCCTCTTCTAGAAGGTAGAACAGCGTGCACTTCAAGCAGCAGGTCTCTACTCTCTTCAGGAAAATGACTGAAAGGCATCAGGGGGCAGAGCAAGAGTTTGAATCCCAGCTCAGCCACTGTCAGTGGGCCAGATGCTTCACCTCAGGAAGCCCCTGCCTTCTGATCTGACCCTCAGGGGCAAGGTGGGCTCACAAGCAGTAATGAGCGCATGTGGTTAAGTGTCACTTAAATAGGGAAGCCAACTATCCTGAAATGGGACTTCCAGGGCTAAAATCAGGAGGGTCTCAGACAAACTGGGACCTGTGGTCACGATATGCTTAGATCAGGGGTCAACAAACTTACAGAGCCAAATCCAGCCTGCCTCCAGTTTATAAATAAAGTTTTATTAGAACTCAGTCAAACCCATTTATTCATGACATATTATCAATCGCTGCATTCATGTTATGATAACAGAGTTGAGAACTTGCAACAGGGACCAAGTGGCCTGCAAAATGTAAAATATTTACTCCCTGGCCCTTTAAGAAAAAGTCTGCTGGCCCAGAACTTGAAATGACAGCTAGTCGGTACTCCTAGGAGCTGTACAAATGCCATACGAGTCCGCGCGAGGAGCGGGTGGGTACTGGGTGTTAATGGGAGACAGGCCCCAACTGGAACAGAGAGGTCGCGGTGGGCTTCTGGGGAGGCTGGCATTGATGTTCGGACTTGTCTGAGATTTGGGGGGAACCCAATTCTGTAGGCCAGGGCTGGGCCATGGGGGGGGGGTTGAACAAAGTGGTCCTTCCCTTTACCCCCAAACAGCCTGAAATCTTTCCCAACCGCTCAGGGATATTTACCAAGATGCCCCCAGTGTCCAAGACACAATACTGAAGTCAACCCAACGGCTCGTGCAGGGGGCTTCCTGAGGAGGGAGGGACTGGGGTGACCGGCAAAGGACCAACTCCCCACCTGAAGGAGGCACCTTGATGCCTCGAAGCATCCAGCCAGCATTTGCTCGTCAAATAGTCACCGAGTGCCTGCACCGCACGGGCCTGGGCTGGGCAGCAGGGTGCCTGGGCGAACCAGACGGAGCCCACCCCGCACCTTGGACACGGGGAAGGCAAGAGAGGGCAGGACGGGGGTTGCTCTGTCACCAGAAGGAAGCTTGTTGGTCCACACAGTCTCAAAGATGGGGCAGCCTTGGGCTCCCCAAGCTTGCCCCAGCCCTCACAGGCAAGACCTCACCCTGGGCTCCCGGGAGCGGTAGCTAAGAGAGTTCAAGCTGCCCCCAGTGGGGTAGCGGCAGGAAAGAGCCCTACCCCCAGGGGGCTTCGACAACGTCCAGACAGGCGGCCTGGAGCCTGGTGCTCGGTGGTGGCCAGGAGGGCCACGGAGGGATGGAGGCGGGGGNAAGCCAACTATCCTGAAATGGGACTTCCAGGGCTAAAATCAGGAGGGTCTCAGACAAACTGGGACCTGTGGTCACGATATGCTTAGATCAGGGGTCAACAAACTTACAGAGCCAAATCCAGCCTGCCTCCAGTTTATAAATAAAGTTTTATTAGAACTCAGTCAAACCCATTTATTCATGACATATTATCAATCGCTGCATTCATGTTATGATAACAGAGTTGAGAACTTGCAACAGGGACCAAGTGGCCTGCAAAATGTAAAATATTTACTCCCTGGCCCTTTAAGAAAAAGTCTGCTGGCCCAGAACTTGAAATGACAGCTAGTCGGTACTCCTAGGAGCTGTACAAATGCCATACGAGTCCGCGCGAGGAGCGGGTGGGTACTGGGTGTTAATGGGAGACAGGCCCCAACTGGAACAGAGAGGTCGCGGTGGGCTTCTGGGGAGGCTGGCATTGATGTTCGGACTTGTCTGAGATTTGGGGGGAACCCAATTCTGTAGGCCAGGGCTGGGCCATGGGGGGGGGGTTGAACAAAGTGGTCCTTCCCTTTACCCCCAAACAGCCTGAAATCTTTCCCAACCGCTCAGGGATATTTACCAAGATGCCCCCAGTGTCCAAGACACAATACTGAAGTCAACCCAACGGCTCGTGCAGGGGGCTTCCTGAGGAGGGAGGGACTGGGGTGACCGGCAAAGGACCAACTCCCCACCTGAAGGAGGCACCTTGATGCCTCGAAGCATCCAGCCAGCATTTGCTCATCAAATAGTCACCGAGTGCCTGCACCGCACGGGCCTGGGCTGGGCAGCAGGGTGCCTGGGCGAACCAGACGGAGCCCACCCCGCACCTTGGACACGGGGAAGGCAAGAGAGAGCAGGACGGGGGTTGCTCTGTCACCAGAAGGAAGCTTGTTGGTCCACACAGTCTCAAAGATGGGGCAGCCTTGGGCTCCCCAAGCTTGCCCCAGCCCTCACAGGCAAGACCTCACCCTGGGCTCCCGGGAGCGGTAGCTAAGAGAGTTCAAGCTGCCCCCAGTGGGGCAGCGGCAGGAAAGAGCCCTACCCCCAGGGGGCTTCGACAACGTCCAGACAGGCGGCCTGGAGCCTGGTGCTCGGTGGTGGCCAGGAGGGCCACGGAGGGATGGAGGCGGGGGCCGAGCCAGGGGCCTGGGCAGGGGGAGCTAAGGGAGGAAGCTGTGCAGGGTGAGGTCGTCCCCGTCATGTTCCCCCCCTGACCCTTCCTTTAGGCCTGGCCTCTTGGTGGCGGGCAGGCTCCCGTTGGCTGTGGCCGCGGGCCCGTCCCCGCCGTCGGGCAGCAGGGCCGAGATGCAGACCATCTCGGTGGGCGAGTAGCTGCGCACGGGGTACATGTGCTTCCTGCGGGAAAGGCGGACGGCCAGCACCACGGTGCACACGAGGAAGGTGGTGGCCACCAGCGCCAGGAGGAAGATGGCCAGCAGGCAGTGCCTCACCGGCATGTAATCCAGGGCCCCCATGGGGCTGGGGGACGCGGAGCTCCGGGGGGAGAGTCCCTGGCTGTTTTTCCATTGTTTGATGAAGGCATCCGACGAATTGCTGACAGCCATGGTGGTGCCCCTGTGAGGGTCAGAGGGCACAGGAAGGGCTGTGGTTAGACCCCTTGTGGTAGCAGGTCCTGTGGACAGGGCCTCTGTGGTGGCTGGATCCTTAAACAGGGTCTCTGTGGTCCTGGGCTCTGTGGAAGGGGCCTCCGTGGCTGCTGGTTCCGTGGACAGGGCCTCTATGACAATGGATTTCACAGGCTGGGCCTCTGTGGCTGCTGCGCTTGTGGATGGGGCCTCCGTGGCTGCTGGGCTTGTGGGCGGGGTCTCCGTGGCTGCTGGGCTTGTGGACAGGGCTTCTGTGTCTGCTTGGATTGTGGACGGGTCCTCCGTGGATGCAGGTTGCATGGTCATTGCCTCCGTGGTGGCCTGCTCTGTGGACAGAGCCCCCTCTGTGGATGGAGCCTCCGTGGTGGGAGGGATTGTAGTGACCAGTTCTTTGGTCAGAGGGACCAGTGTGACGGGAATCCCCGGTGTGGCCAGTTCCGTGCCGAGAGTCCCAATGGTTGCCCCTCCTGTGTCCGGGCCAGCAGAGTCCCCTGTGGTCACCTCCAGAGTGGCTGGCGTGGGAGCACCAGGCCCCGCAGAATCTCTCTGCCGCAGTGCTCCCATCACAGCCTGCGGCTTGGGGCTCTGGGTCCCGGCCCCTGTGCTGTTGCTCAGCTCCTCTGGAGGGTCGGTGCCATCATACTCATTGTCCTCATCATTTGCATAGAAGTCTTCTTCCAGGGGCGCCTGTCTCCGGCCCCGGGCCAGCAGGTGGCTGGGGGCCCCCTTGGCCCCATCCTCCCAGCTCCCCCACAGCCCGAGGCTGCTGCCAGGACCCAGCAGGAGCAGCAGCAGCAGGAGTTGCAGAGGCATGGCACCTGGAGGGAGACATGGACAGAGGGACATCAGGACGGAGCACCCTTGGCCGCGATTCCGTGCAGTCACAGCTGGCCGTGTGGCTGTCCCTCCTTGAGTGACAAACTGACTCACAGGCCCCTCAGCTCCCAGCCTCCATCCGACTTCCTTCACCCACTGCTGAGAATTGTGTTGGTTTCCCATACGTCAGTCTGATCAGATCAGATCAGATCTTAAACCAGACTTTATGCTCTTTGCATCAGGCACATCCTGGCCCTCCCAATATCCTCACTTTACCAAGGGGAAATGAGGCTCAGAGAGGTGAAGCGATTTGCCCGAAGACACACAGCTGGCGAGTGGCAGAGATCAGAGTTGGAGCGAGTGAGGATTCAGGGGGCCTTTGTAGAGAGACCTAAGGTAGCTGTGGGGGCAGAGGGAGCAAAGGCCTGGGTGAGAGCTCAGCTTGCTGCGTTTGTAGCTGGGGCTGGGGGACAAGCTGGGAGAGGGAGGGCGGGATAGGAGTGAAAGGCCCTTGAAGGCCACATCCCGAGAAAGGTCAGCCCCATATGTACTGGGTACCATGCAGGGCACAGGACTGAGGGTCAGACAAAAAGATGTTTGAGTCCTGGCTCTGGCTCTTATAAACCGCATGACCTTGACACAGACCTTTGCCTTTCTGAGCCTCAGTGTTCTCACCTGTAAAATGGGAGTAAGAAACAGTCCCCATCTCAGAGGGCTGTTGAGAGAACGCAGTGAGATGATGGATTCAGAAGCTCCAGGCTCACAGTAGGTGCTCAATAAATGTGTCACACACATCCATGCACGTTCTTTGCCCCCTAACCTGCCTTCCGGAGGCAGAGTTTCTCTGCGCATGGGGTGGAGTTCCTACTTGGGGGAAGGGTATACGGCCTAACCTTGGCTCCACTTTCCCGGGGGGGGGCAGAGAAATTTAAGAAGAAGCCACCAGCACAGAGCCACATTTCATAATTATGAAAAGACTCACACACCAACCCTGCCCCCACACTTGGGCAGCTTTTGGTTCCTGGAAGGCGAAGCCCTCAGCCACTTCCTGAAGAGAGGGAGGGGCAAAAAGTCCAGGCCCAACCCACCTGTTGATGAGTCTGGGCCCCACTTTCTGCAGCCTGGGGGCTGGGAGGATACCATGGAGGGGGCCAGGGGCCTATTCCCAAGGTGGGCCCTCACCCCTGCACCCATCCCCACAGTCCCCTGTATGAGGGGGGGAGACCACTTAGGAGCTGTGTGACCTTGAGCAGGTCACTTCACCCTCTCTGGGCCTCAGTTTCCTCATCTGTAAAATAGGTAGTATTGCTTCAAAGAATGGTTGTGAGAATGGAATGAGATACTGCAGGGAAGGTCCCCAATGCTGGCATCCAGCAGGGGGCATTTTATTTGGGGGGCTCTCTTCGGGGCTGTGGGCAGAGGAAAGGCGCACCCCAATGAGGGTATAGAAATGGCAACCTCCCTGCCTCCCCTGTGTACATTTAGGGAAGCCACAGGGTCCTGTGTGAGAGCAGAGACCGTGCGTTGGGATAAAGACGAGCTCACAAGGAAGCCCACATCTCCCTGTCCAGGCCCATCTAGGGCCACCAGCTTGTCCTGGATATCCCCGATGTTAGCACTAAAAGTCCCTGGTCCCCATACCCTTCAGTCCCAGGCAAGCTGGGGCAGCTGGTCACCCCAGCCTGGTGCCTGCCATCCCATGGACACAGCAGCCTCATGCCAGGCCAAGGTTGGGCAGGCACCAGCCCATTTAATAGGAAGAAAACCCGGCTTCCAGAGGTCCTGTGACTCCGAGAGGCCACACAGGTAGCAAGGAGAGGAGCAGAGTGTGCGAAAGGTGGGACAATAACTAATATTTGCTAAAATAAATGTACTGTAATGAAAGATGTATTATAAAGCCCTCACTGTGGATGGATCATCCCATCATAGGAGGGACCTCACTCATCTTCACACTGGCTGTGAGGGTGCCCATTATACAGGTTAGGAAAACAAGGCACAGAGCAGGACGTCATTTCCTCCAGGGCCCACCTTTCACCTCCTCTCCCCTCAGATGGCAGGAAAACAGCCACTTCCCAGAGGAGGGGGGCTGGGCGGGGCTCGGAGAGAGGTTTGTCCCTCTCTGTCAAGCTGTGACACCCTGTTTTCTGCTTACCTAGTGGAAGAGGTCAGACACTGCCTGTTTCCTGCCTTTCAAGCTAAAACCAAGTTGCTTCTGCCCCGAGCCCTACCTGGGCTGGGATGGGGCAGGCAGTCAGCTAGGGGGCCAACACTCCAGTTCCAGAGACCACACTGGGCCACCCTGGGCTTCCAAGAAACCTGGGACCTCCCATTCAGAATCTTGGGCCCCGCGAGTCCCAACATTCAAACTCTTAGAATCTTAGGATCCACAAGACTGAGCATCTCAGGGTGTGGGCTGAGCAGCCGCAAGAGAAGGGAAGGTCCAAACACACAAGTAGTCAAACTGAGGTCCAGGTGACCCCCTTGACCCTCACACACCCCGAATCCCAGTGCAGGTCTAAGTCCCAGCAGACAGGACAGGGCCTGGTCCACCTTGGTATCAAGTCCAGTATCAAACCAGATCCAGACCAAGCCCTGTCGTTTATAAGCTGTGTGACCTTGGGCAACTGAACTCACCTCTCTGAGCCAGATTTCTGGCTGGAACGCAGGGACAATAGTAGCACCTACACCTCGTGGGGTTGTGGGTTGAAGTGAGCCCACCCAGGTTACATGTTTAGCACATAGTAAGTGCTCAATAAAGGTCAGCTGTTGGCATTGTTATTCTGCATTTAGGGCCATGTCCCTGAAAGTTCCCAACCCTGGGACAGCTTTGACACACCTCTGATATGTCAGTCAGAGAGGGGCAGGACAGGAAGCCCTGGAAATCTCTCCACAGCAAGCCCTGGGTGCAGTGCACAGCCTCGGCCTCTGGTTTGCAAATCACATATACCAAGTGTAGACAGCGTGCCAGGCACTGGCCTAAGAGCTAAACATGAGTTATTAGCACACTGGGGCCCAACAACCAGAAGTACCTGCTTGTCCCCTCTGCACCTCAGTTTTCTCGTCTCTAAAAAGGGGACACAGTGTTCTGAGATGATTCCCAGCCCCTCTGAAGGCCCTGCTCCCACCTGGCCGAGGTTCCCGTGAGGTGCTGGGCCTGGCAGCCCAGCCCCTTCCCGGATCCGGGTTCTGCTTTCCCAGAGCTGCTGGCCAAGCCCGGGGAGGGAGGTGTCTGCCATTTAAGGTGTGGCCAGCCAGGCAGCCCCCGGAGAAAGCCCCTCTGGGGCCCAGGCCCGGGGAGTCACCTCCTGAACCCCTGCCCAGTGACCTTGAGAGGCCTGGCCCAGGGAACTCAGATATAGGAGAGGGAAGAAAGAGAATTCCAGCAACCAGAGCCCTGACCCGTCTACGGTGCATGTGTGTGCGCGTGTGAGCCTATGTGCACATGTGTGTGTGCACATGTGCAATTGTGTATAGGGGCCCGTTTGGCCACCAGCCCCCCATTCTTTTTGCCCCTGAAGCCCCCCAAATACAAATTAGTAAGAGTACTCTCATTATTATTTTCTTTTGCTGGCAATAGTACCCTAATTCTAATACTTTAATAATTTGCTATGAGCACACAGCATTGCCTCAGTCTTATAAAAAACCATGAAGAACACAGCTTTGGAAACAATATTTTTATGGACCATCCCTGCACCGGCTCCTAGGAATCGCCCAGACCCGACCCCAGCTCTGCTCCTGAACAAATCCCTTCACCTCTCTGGGCCCCGGTGTCCCACCCGTGAAAGGAGGGGCAGGGTGATTTTTAGGAAAATGCTCCCGATTTCTCCAATTTTTCAAATTCAGAAAGCTCCCAAGCCAGGAACTTCTGGCCAACCTGCCTGCAAGGGCAGGATGGCAGTGGAGGGGAGCAGGATCCAAAAGAGACGGCAGAATGGGGCCAGGGACTCCAGGCAGACCTTGGTCCCAAACCCCCAGATCTTTGATTTGCCCTCCCCAGGGGCTGCAGCTCAGGGCCTGCCCCCCACCCACGCCTGCCCTCAGCCATCAGCAGGACCACTGGTCCCTTGGGCACCCCCAGAAACTCCCTGTGGTTTTGCAAGCTGGCACTTACCGTGCTCAGCAGAGCATGGGACAGCTGCTTCGTGGGCCCAGGAGAAGCGGCTTCTCTGTTTCAGGGACAACGACCCAGCCCACACTGCAGGGCACTGCTGTGGCAACCCCCGCCGTGGTCCTGGACCCTGCCAACGCCCAACGGCCGTGTGCGAAAGAAGGAAGCGAGAATGTGGTTACTCAGATGGGGCCACGTGATGGCCCACACCTCCTCGTTTGTGACAGCTTTGGTGACACTGTTGACTGGACTGGGTGGCAATGGGACATAGGGGCCCGCGGAGGCTGAGATCACTCTTGGATTATGGTAACCATGCAAACACCAAGAACCACAAGGAAATTTTCTGGGGAGCAACGGTTGAGGGGCCCAAGCTGAGAAAGGCCACAGCATTACGCCATGGTTGATGGAGAGTGGGGGTGATAGGGGACCCCGCCCTGGAAGGGAGTAACCAGATGCAAAGGATGGTAGCCGCTTCTTAGAGCTCAGGAAGGGAGTGGGGGGAGAGAACCTTCCTGAGCTTCGCAAACACGAGTCCCTCTTTTGCAATAGACGGTTTCTCTGGGTGCACAGGGGGTCCCTCGTCTCAGCTGCAACCAGGAGCCTCTCTGGGGAGTTGGGCTGCAAATTCCACGAGGGCCACACCTGCCTGTTTTCTTTCCTAATCGGCTCATTTTGCCAACTTGGGCTGGACAGGCCAAGATCCAAAGGGGAGCAATTTCAGACTCCAGCCCTCTGGTAGCTCTTCGTCTGGTGGGAAGCCGGGGAGCTAACAAGTAAACAGACCACGATGACAGGGCGCGGTAAGTCACCCTGCGGTGAGCCAGGGAGGGGCCCCTAACTCCCCCTGGGTGGGGGAGGGCGTCAGGAGAAGTGGCCCTTGAGATGGCAGCTGAGGCAGAGAGCAGGCCATGGGCCAAGGCTGGGAGGCCTGGGAGTGCACCGAGCTCTCAGGAAAGCAGCCTGCGCTCTGCCCAAGGGGCTCAGGACACGTGCAGAGCGGTGCAGACCCTGCCCGGCCCAAAACGAAAACCGAGCCCCGGTGGGTGGTGGCCTCACACAGGCCTACCTGCCTTTTGTCGCGCTTTGCTTTATTGCACGTCACGGGTATATTGCGGGAGGGATTTTTGGGCCTGTTTGCTCTTTTGTGCCGTTTTTTGACTGTTGATAGTGGAAGGTTTGTGGCAACCCTGCATAGGGCAGGTCTATCGGTACCGTTTTTCCAACCGCATTTGCTCACTTCTTGTCTGTTACATTTTTGGTAATTCTGGCGATATTTCAAAGTTCCTCATTGCCCTATCTGTTTTGGTAATCTGTGACCAGTGATCTTTTGAGAAGTCGCTCATGAAAGGACTCGGTGTTGTCTTATTTCAAGAAATCGCCATAGCCTCCTCTGTCTTCAGCCACCACCCCGGTCAGCCAGCAGCCGTCAACATCGCCGGATGGGTAGAATATTTTTTAGCGGTATTTTAAAATTAAGACATGTTCTTTTTTTTTTAGACAGAATGCTATTGCACACTTAATAGACTGTAATACGGTATAAATACAATTTTTAAATGCACCGGGAAACCCCAAAATTCGTGGAACTACTATATTGTGGAGGTCTGGAAGCCAGCCTGCAGCATCTCCAAGGTCTGCCTGTTCTTGGACACTCCTGAGGATCATCCGTGCACCAAACGGTCTTGCTTACATTAGCTGACAGATGGCAATGCTTGCAGCTGCCGAGTGGTGTGTCACACCAGCCCCACAATGGGCACCAAGTCACCGCTGCCTGCCCAGCTGTGCTCCTGCGGTTGTCAGCTCGGTTGCATTTTGCTCCTTTGTTGTATCGGGGCTGGCAGTGGAGTGGGGAACTGCTCACGCCAGTGACAAGACTAGCTCTAAAAAAAACTTGAACGCCATAGACACCCTGGGCGGGCAGCTCAGTTGTTAGAGCATTGTCCCGATACACCAAGGCAAGCAGGCTCGATCCCTGGTCAGGGCACACAGGAGAAGCAACCCATGAAAGTATCAGTAAGCGGAACAAATCAATGTTTCTTTCTCTCTGCCTCTCTTAAATAAGTAAATAAATAACTTAATACCATAGAGACAAAGAGGGGAAGCATTTGGTGGCCAAAGCCAGCCAAGGTTAGCTTCCACCTGGCATTTACCAGGCATAAGCTGGCCAACCATGCCTTCAGTGATTACAGCGAGGGGAATTAAACATTTATGGGGTCCTGGAAATACGTGGCTGGGCAAGGCCTGTGTCTGACGGCCGGAGAGAGCTGGATCTCATCCTCTATCTGTAACTCACTGTGGCCCCTTCCCACGTGAGGCCCACTTCCCTGTCCGCTTCCCTGAAAATGGAGAAAACTTCCGAGAAGACGAGGGTGACGCCTCTCACAGGGCCACGCCTGCCTCCCCAAGTGCCTATTGTCCCACCAGGAAGCCGAGGCTCAGGGAAGGGCCCGGGTCGCCCCAACAGCAAGCCCACGTGTCCTTAGACCAACACGAGTGCAGCTGGCCCGGCAGCCCGGGTGTGCGGCCTGCTTCTCCGGGGCCGCGGTTTCTGAATCCACCTGCCAGCCCCGGGACCTTTAGTTCAAGTGAAAGCAAAGGCCTCATACAATAGAGGACAGAGCCGTTCCACTGCAAGGCCCGGCCCTGGCAGGGAGGGAGGGGTCATACCCAGCTGCCTCCTGCTACCAGCCTCTTTGATTGGAGGCAGGGCTCGCAGGCTGAGATTAGCTATTTGAATCATCTGAAGGGGAAATGGCCACTCTGGAGCCGCCCGCAGCTAGGACGCAATTCCCCTTCTCAAATGGGAACAGAACTGCAGGGCGTTCCTGTTCAGCCCCAGTCCAGGCCGTCCATTTGGGCAGCCCCAGGTGCAGGCTGCCTCGAGGGAAGAACAGGGCTCCCCAGGGGTCACTGGGTCAGTGTGGGCGCTGGGGGGTCCCAACCTCGGAAGGTCAGAGGGCAATTCAACCTAGAAACGTGCTCCAGACTCAGTGATTTTACAGGAAAGGGTTAGCAGCGGAAGGAAACCGTGCGTCCCACAGCCAACCTGAGCGCTAGGCCTTGGCAGCACCGGGATGGGGAGCTCTGGATCTCGGACCTCGGGGGGCTCTGAAACAGACCTGTGACAAGGTGTCAACCCAAACTGGCTTAAGTGGCAACAGGATTCCTGGGGTATCTCATGGGATTTCAGGTCAGAAATGCAGCTCGCCTGGCCAGTGTGGCTCAGCGGGTTGAGCGCAGTCCCATGCACCAGGAGGTTGCCAGTTCGATTCCTGGTCAAGGCACCTAACTTAGGTTTTGGGTTCAGGCCCCAGTCGGAGCGAATACGGGAGGCAGCCAATCAATGCTTCTCTTGTGTCGGTTTGTCTCTCTCCATACCCCCCACTTCCTCTCTCTCTAAAAATCAACAGAAACATATCCTCACGTGAGGTTTAAAAAAAGAATCTTGCCATCCTGACATTTCGATACATTGCCTCCGCTAGAAACCGGCGGGG